AAGCATTGCATTGCAATATGCAATATTGCAACTTTGCTGCAAACTTCTGTGCTGTATGGGAGTAAATCGGGAGCATTATTTTGAGCTATTGATTCAGAAATTTTCATCTTGCGGGCTAACTTCACGAGGGTATGTTGTACCACCCGACAACGATTCCGGTGGTCGCGGCGGAGGAAGAGGTAGCGGAAGCGGAGAGCCCGGTGTACGAGCCAATCACACCACCGCTACCGATGGAGACCGAGGAAAGGAATGGCGTGGAAGAATGAAATAATCTATAAGAACATTATACTGTGTTATTGTATTTTCATTGGTTTTATATTATCGGGTGTTTTGTATTGATTTTCTTTTATGAACTATTATTTTGTATTTTATATGGGATTTTGCATGTTTATATTTTTTATTTTTTTTATTTTTATTTATTTTTTATTTTATTTTCAATCAAGACATAAGTGATATAAAATGGTAAATTAGCAATAAAAGAGTTAAACGCAATAAAGCGATGTAAGTATTAAAACTGTATGATTTTATGTTGATAAATTTAATAATGTTATCGTATACTAATTAGTTTATATTTTCTATAATATTATATACTTGATAAAGTATGGATGGATGAATGGATGCGTGAACATGAAATAAAATAAAATAAAATGTAAGATGATAAATAACGTTTCATTAATTAAAGAAATCTTTACCTGAATAGAAAAGTAAGAATTAAATATCTGAAGTAAAAGGTGATGACAATTCGGGCGGCCAACAAGTTAAGGAAAATTTAGTTCATGCGTTTGTGTTTATTTTAATTATAATCAAAGGATACATAGTTATTCTATAGTTAGGAATCAAAAGAAAATTTTCCGAAGACAAGTCCAAATCCATAAGTCACGTGATCACCTGTAACAGAAAAATGCGACATTAATTTATGATTGTAAACCATGAATTTTCTTTTATTTATACGTAAAAACCAGCGTACATATAGTGTTGTTTGGAAGTTTTATAAGCGAAAGTGTATCATCCGACCACCGGATGAATTGATCGTCACGTGATTACCTGTAACAAAGAAACAGTGTGTTATTTTGGAAATGTAATCCATGAGATATTATTATTTTAGGTAATTTAAGAGATACACCAAGCAGCGAAAGGCTCCGAGCCAAAGTTGTCATCACACCGATAAATAAGAAGTCAAAGAGTTAAATTATTGCAAGAAATGAGTTTAGTTTCAAATATTTATCCACGCGATCAGTTAAAAACATCCAGGTAAAGGGATATTCAATGTTTTCAAAAACAATAAAAGGAATTAATTATAATTTTAACTGTTCGACCAATCTGACATTGGCAGTGGTCGACAGTTAGTAGTTTTGGGAACGTTATTCAACGAAGCGGGCCCAAACGTTGGGCAAAGCGCCAGATTGGTTCGGCGAACCGGCCAATCCGAAAAGCAAGAAGCGAGCGTTAAGTTTAAGTGCGCAACAAACGCGAAGAAGGGGAAAACGACCACGAGTATAAATATCGTTGCTCGGATGGCAACGAGGTCTTTTGTTCCGGTTTGTTCACGAGTCAAGTCCGCGTAAGAAAAGTCCCGCAAAGTATTGCGTCATTTCGAGAATCCGTGATTCAGCGAGCATAGTAAACACCGACGTTAAGAATTATCTCGATCGGACGTCGCGAATACGGATTGATTCCGAAACGGATCTAGCGCGAGTTTGTTGCGCATTTTATAAGACGTTATTCTTGAATCATTATACGCAATTTCGGTTATCGCGAAAGCGTTCATGCGTTATAGCGCTGTGTCGGTTGTGGCAGGGCCGAGTTGTTTCCGCGACGCATTTAGTGACGCATACCGAATTGCGTTTAATGCGCATCTCTGAAAGCTGGGATTCCCTGTGAAAGGCGAGGTTGCGTAATCCGCGAAGCGCGAATTATTGTGTGCGCCGACTGTGTGAGTGCGCCGAAGCGCGTGTGTGATCGTTTTGAACTTTTGGAAAATAAACATTATAAACCTTTAATTGAACAAAGTCTAATTCTTTTGCGGACCTCACAAAAATCGCATGCGCTCACATTCCGAACTTATTGAACGAGAATACCGTCGACCGCCGCCAATTAGGGGTGCGTTCCAAAATGAACCTTGAGTGAACTTTAGAAGTTGAGGTTTGGTGGGGATGAGGTTAATCAAGATAGTAGTTATTTTGGAACGGGACTTGGTTACAAATAAGTAAGTTGGAACAAAATAACACTTAAAAAATAAAATTTAACTTTAACATTATAACAAAAATATGTATGTCTCAGGCATGAAGCCTTCTTCCAATGAGGAACTGAAAGGATACATTATTGATAAATACTAATACTGATAATCCGCAAAATTATTAGATATAATAAAGTCTGATAAAATTAATGGAATAAAGAATCACACCTTGCTGTGGTGAGCAACAGCTAGGTTATGGTGACGCTCTTTTCGCAATACTGATCCGTCAACAATTAGCCTCGTACGGTGTAATAAAAACCGCCGTCTACGTCCTGCTGAAAGACTACGTCTCCGACTTGGAAATATATGTCTTTGTAAAATTTATCTTGGGTTATCTTAAGTTATATGACAGCCATTACACTAGACTCTTGCTTTTCCCCCATGCTTTACCTCAGATTTACCTTCACCTCTTGATGTTGAGAGATCATAAAAGTTAACCATATGGTCGACTAAACAACCATTTTGGAACGCTATTACAAGTCGACCATAAACCGATCATAATGATTTTGAAACGACCTACAGTAACTAAGGTTAGATTTTGGAACGCACCCTAGAAGGAAGGACGAGGATCCGGAAAACCAGAGCGGCTGATCCATGGTGGAAACATTACATGGTGAGCTCAAAACTTCAAAACTACGCCCCTTTTTCACGTCGCGGTGTATCCGCCTGCAATTTCGCAGACGGATACGACGATTGTCGCGAAGGGAGACCCAAGGATGTCGCCGGCGGAGCGGGCGCTCCGAAATGTCCACCAGTGGATGACGGATCGGGAGAGGCGTTCAAACGAAATTCTGGTGGAGATTCTTGAGGTAGCGGCGGAAGAGGAAGTAGAGGAAGCGGAGAGTCCGGCGTATGAGCCGATTACCCCGCCATTACCGACGGAGACCGACGAAAGAGAGAGCAGGGAGGAATAAGTTTATGCGACCTGAAGAATTTCAGGGACTTTATAGTATTTCAGTGTGTTTTCGTTTCCTATAAATTTAGATTTTTTATTTGATTTATTTTATGTTTACATTATTATGATTGATTATGAACTTTATGTTATTTTATGATTTTATGTTTTTACCTGTTGGATCAAGTACGAAGGTTTATAATTAAGTAAAATAAAGTTAATTTTAGACTAAATGATTTAATAAGCATATTGGATTTGCTTTAATATTTTAGACAGCATTACAGTTTATAAGATATGGATGGATGAAAGCATGAATAAATAAAATTAATATAATAATAATCATTGAATAAGGTTCCCTAAAATCCTTTACCTGTTTGATTAAAACGGAAAAGAGAAAAGTAATAAAAAAGA